GTTGCCGAAATGAATTCTTCGTCATGAAAATCAAGTTCGTCTTCAGCAGTAGGCCGTGGAGACGCAATAACTGTATCACTTGATCGATTCAACGCTTGCTGGTAAAAGATTTCCAAATGGCATGGTACATAATGTGCTCTGCAAAGTGGCATGACAACACGACCCAATTGCGAAATGACAGACATAACAACAGTTTTACGTTTCGTAAGAGGATCTTTGAAACTATCCGGGTTCAAGTGCTGATAAGACCCAGTTCAGGCCAATCGAGATAAGATTAGCTTTTGGGAAGAAGACCATATGAAATTCAATGGAAACATAAAGCTTAATCATATGATTGTGTAAAAATTCTACTAACAGTCCTTCGTCACCTTAAAAGAAATGGAAAAAAGGCAGTTTTTATAAATTAAGTTGTCTGTTTTGCCGGAAAATGATGCTCCCGAATGGCAATTTTAAGAATGCAGATTCTGCTCCTTCATACCACATAAATGAATCAGTTGTGTATTTTGTTTGAGTTTAATACGCCGCATGTCGGATATTCCTGAGGTCTGAGATTGAGGCGAAGAAGTTAAGGGCACATTTTCTGGACAGAGCCCTGATTTTTACTGACAGTGGCAAAAAAGTGTGGATTTTCCGAGATTTTCCAGTCTAGAAAAACTGTAGCCTTCGAACGCAAAGCAACGTTTTCGCCGCGATTTCAGCCAATCTGAATTGAGGTTTCAAACCTACTCACTAAGTATAAGAGTAGTATCATTAAGCGTTAAAAAAAAGTAAAAGTGGCCTCAGGAATAAATGGTTTCTCTTCAAAGCCATATCTGCCCTCTTACCCAATGGCTACTGCAGCTATGGCGAAATGGAAACGTTGTGCCCTAATCAATAACCGGGGCTCGAGGTTCAAGTGAGTTAGAAACTGAAATGAAATTTATTTTAAATTTTATTTTATTCGTGAGCCCCATTTATTTCAATGTGGAAAGTGCAACTATCAATCCCAACAAAAGCCGGAACGACGTAGACCGACGGGAGTTCTGAGTAAAGTTGGAGTAAGTTTGGGTTGAAGCTGATGACACTCTGGCCCAAATTGGTAGCATTTGGAAGTTTTTACCTTTTTCTCGTTAATTAGAGGCAATTCGGAAAGATCACTCCTCAAATGATAATGCCTTCGGGGAGTTGATACAACTAGGTGGCGTCTTCGGAATCCAGTTCCCGCCTAAACTGTCTTTTACAGGCCAGCTTGGCCCAGAAACGGTTGGGCAATGCAAGAGAGCCTATCGTTTTCCCGCCAATATGATAATGCGGTAGCCTGACCTCAAAAGATGCCTCAAGTCGATAAGATACAGTAAAGTCTCCCGCCCGGGCCGGGTGATGTCGCGTGGGTCAAGACAATCTAATCTGGTTGAGGATGGTCGACAAGGCTTTGAGGCCATGAAGGGAATGGGAAAAACGAGCAGACCTGTGCCGCTTCCGAGCCGAGGGTAGAGCAGTTTCGGTGTGTCTACTCACATTTTGGGAAAACAAATCGGCCAAATGTCTTCTCGACATTTGTCCGACACAGGCGAGCAATCAAATGTACTTTGTGATGAACTTGCAGGAAAGGAGGATAAGCCGCCGACTTGTCGACAAAACTGGGACTTTACGCCATCCCATCCTGTCACATGGCGCACTTATGCCTCAGAGAGAGGCACAGGCTGCCGATTCTCTGAAAGCGTCTGCCCTAGTGACCGCATCAAGTCTGTAGCTATGGGCATCGCTGAGCGGGACAGGTCTACTCAAACTATCCGCTTCGAGGCCTCTTTTCAGCGAGAATGATCCACGATGGTCTGTCTTGATGCAGAATGGATAAGGGAGGGGTAAACAATTTTGGGTTGTGTGTGTGTGTGTGTGGGTGTAGGTGTGCACGTATGTGACAAACGCTGATAAAAAGATGACCCATCACGTTGTTGAAAGTATTTTATTAGATTTCATTTTTAAATTGAAACTCAAATCATGTGAATCATGTAAGATATTCAGTAATTATTCTGTATGGAATATGCCGAACCAGGAGATAATGAGTGACTAATTCTAAAATAAAGCTACGGATAAATCAACATTAAGACTCCATACTGTGTAGTCTATTCTAATAACTCATTTTAAATGAAGAAATGGATAAATCCTCATTAGGATGCACTCTATTTCCAATTAAATGTGTCAATTCAAACAATATTCTAGAATAGTCCGAAATGTGTATGGAAAGTCATCACATTTTCAATAAATCACCAGATAACCGAATCTGTTTGTACGATTTATTAATGCTAAAAATAGAAAGATTTTATCATTTTAAATGGATATCATTTTCTGTGAAAGTGACGAACACTCATTAAAAATGATATTTGCATATCCAAATGTAGATAGACATAG